TGTGTGTGTATGTGTGTGTATGTGTGTGTGTGTGTGTGTGTGTGTGTCCTATCATCCCCTGAGGCACATACTGCAACTGCACGGAATGGTCAGGTGACAGTTTATTGGTCCTATCTCTAGTACCACTGCTGCTATGGCTGCTCACCTGGATCCTCTTAAGTGATCCAGGTAAGGGATTGTGTCCTTTTTGGGCTGGTGAATTCAATACATTTAAAAGGCCTGGCTTGCCAGGCAGGCAGAGGCCAAGGGCCAGAGCGCAGAGGGCAGAGAGGCAGGGGTAGATCTCTGTGAATTCAAGCCCAGCCTGGTCTACAGAACAAGTTCCAGGACATCCAGGCCTCCACAGAGAAATGCTGTTTTGAAAAAAACAAAAACAAAAACAAAACCAACCAAACAAAAAAGACCTGGCTTCTCTTTCTTTCTTTCTTTTTCTTTTTTTCTTTTTTTCTCCAAGACAGGGTTTCTCTGTATAGCCCTGGACCAGGCTGGTCTCTAACTCAGAGATTTGCCTGCCTCTTAATGCTGGGATTAAAGATGTGCAGCACCATCCAGCAAGGCCTGGCTTTTCTGAGGCCATTTGATTGCACCCATATTGTCCCTGTGTTCCAATGTACTTCAATAAACTCCTAGGTGGCAACCTTGCAACTTGTTAGGAATGTCACTTATCAGTCTGTGCCTCATGGGTGGTGCTAGAAAGGTGGTGGTGCCTCTGTGCATGAAATAGATAGAGTCTCTCTGCCTCTGTATCTGCACTCAGAACACTGCCAGAGGCTGCCTGTAAAATGGAGTCACCCAAGGCAAGGCCCAGCCTGGAAGCCATGGTTGCATATAATATGCAGTAACTTAGAGCAGGGCATAGCCTGATCTCTACATGAAGTAAGCACCTTGCCACCAAGCTACATCACCAGCTTTTAAAACGATCATTTCAGACTTGCTACACAGCAAGTCTGAGGCCAGCCTGAGCCATGTGAGACCCTGTCTAAACCAATATTAATTTTGAGACAGAGTCTCATTAATTTGCCTGTCTGGTCTTATACCTCCAATCCTCTTTCGCAAGTAGCTGGGGTTACAAGGTATGAACTACCATGCTCAATGAAGCTTATTTTCTTTTTCTGTGGTCCTGGGGAGTCACACGCATGGTCTCATGTTGTACCACTAACTGCTTAGAGGTTTGAATCCCTCCTTCTCTGCACCTCATTTGTGGCATGGGTTACTCTGCTTTCAGGATCTGGCCTTCCCTGAGTCCTTGTCACTTTTTTTTGGTTTTTCAAGACAGGATCTCTTTATATATAGCCCCAGCTGTCCTAGAACTAGCTCTGTAGACTAGGATGGCCTTGAATTTACAGAGATCCACCTGCTTCTACCTCCAGAGTTCAGGGATTAAAGGCAAGAGCCACCACACCTGGCTCCTTGCCACTTCTGAGGACCACAGGTAATTATCTAGTCACAGACATAGCCACTGGGTCCGAGGACTTCTACATTCCTCCTTCAATATGCTCAGGACCTACTCACACCTGTACTAGGCAAAGAACCCTAATATTCTGTAAAGTTCATGATCTGTAACCAACTGAAGAAATTGTAGGAAGGAAACTGGGCCACTTGTAAAACTGACAGGCTCTAGGTGATAACAGGTCTAGGTGGGCTCATAACCTGAGGCAAGGCCAGCCAGTTTCTCCGAAGCTGTCTGTCTGGGATGCTCTGTTCTTTTCTCTACAGACCCACAATCCGGAGCTTGCAGAGCCCTTCCGACCTAGTGGTTATGGAGGAAGACAGGGCTCTGAACACCATCTGTCCTTGTGGGGAAACTGTGATGAGGCTAATGTGACAAGGCTACAGTTCAGATAGCTTAAATGGAATTGTTCCCAAGGGCTGAACCTGAAAAACGGCAGCTCTCCTTCAGCGAGTTGTTTGGGAGGATCATGTGCTCAGGGTCAAGGCTTGGGTGGAGAGGGGTCTGGGGACTTGCGCATCTGGGAAGGCAAAGGCGCTTGCTGGAGGTGGAGTCTTTTGTACAGCCACTTGTCAGGTCTGATGTGCTGTGGCACACTTATGTAGCACTATATTAGTTACTTTTTTTTAGATGTGACAAAAGCAAGTTAAGAAAAGGAGGCTCTGCAGAAGCTCACAGTTGGAGGCTATAGTTTATCATAGTGGGAAGTCAGAGCTGTAAGAGCTTAGGCAGCTGGTCACAGGGTCACAGCAGCCAGGGATGCTGCTGCTCAGTTCCCCTTCTTTTTGTTCAGTTCAGGACCTGTACTGCCTGTCTTCAGGGTGGGCCTTCCCGTCCTAACCAAAGTAATCTAGAAACGTCTTGACGGGCATGCCCAATGTTTGCTTTCACGATGATTGTAAATCCCATCAAATTTGACAACCAAGATTAACTTTCTTCCGACATGACGGCCCAGCAGGTAAAGGTGCTTCCTGGGGCTCACAGGATGAAAGGAGAAAACCGACTCTCACGAGGTGTCCTCCGGGCTTCGCATTGCATAACCCCTCAATAAATAAACTATAGTAAAAGTTATTTAAAATATTAATCATCACAGATGGGATGACTTTGATGAATCTCAGAGTCAGTGCAATGGAGGAGTCTGAGACTCTGCTGCAACCTCTTTCCTGATATAGACTCAGGCAATGGGAGTTCCTATTGCTTCCTGTCCAGCACTCCTCTTATAGCCCATAAGCATCCTTTTGATGGGGTGGAGAAGCTGGAGAATAAACACCTCGGCCGGAAGGTGGCTGTGGGAAGTTTATTCTCTGCTGTTGGCTCTTTGCCTCTTAGAATTTTGTCAGGCAAACCCAGCAGCCTTGCCAGATTTGGCTTATTATGTTCTCAGTTTCTTCTACTGGTCTTGGGGCCTCAGTGGGGGTGTCTGATTCATGGGAGGGTCCTGACTTCTCCTCCTGACTAGGCTCTACCCCGACTGTGTAAAAGAGCATGAGAAGGGACAAAGCTCTGCTTGGTGGGTCTGGGCCATGATAACCACCTGAGATGAGGCGCTTCCTCTTCAAAACATCTGGCTTCACAGAAGAGAGCTGGGAAAGAGCCACCAAGCTTTTCGCTTCCTGTAGTGTTAGGCCCAGACAGGTCCTCTGCAAAATGGGTCCATAGAAAGGTTCCTATAGGCCCACCTCGCTGGAGTGGGGAACAGGGGAGCAAAAGCAAGAAGGGGCCTGGATGGGTGCTGAGAGGTTGTGTTCCAGACAGCAGTCACTGAGGCAAGGATGGGCTAATCTATCTTCAGGCCTCAGTTTCCTCATTTGTAAGGAAAGTGGGGACCTGAGCAGCGCTTCCTTTCGTCCCAGCTTAGAGGTTTGCAAGCGCCTTCGGCTCTGGCTTCACACCTGTGGCTTAGGGAAGGAGGTCTGTCCTACTGTCAGGGCGCTGGAGCCGGTTTGCACAGGTAAAAGTTGACTGCTGCTGCTGCTAGCGCAGCCTCCCCATCCCCAACATGTGTGACACAGGATAGGTCCAGCAATGGTGTCAGTGTCCCTGTCTACGTAAAGCCGTTCTCATCCGTGAGAGCAAGATTGGGGCTACTCAGATACACATTAGAAGGATTTTTCCCCGGGCGGGGATAACAGGAGGCGCAGCGCCTGCGCCCTCCCAACAGCTCGAGTTCTCCAGGCAGTGAACCGGCCCCATCCCGGGCCACGCCCCCGCCCTCTCACCTCCCCCACGTCCCAGCACCGCGAGAATGCGCACGCCCTCTCTTGCACCGCCCATCGCCGGGCGCGAGGCTCAGCGTGCGCGCCGGCGCGTGCGTCGTGCGTGCTCGCGCGCGCGGCCCAGCGAGCGGCGCTCGGGGCCCCGAGGCGGCTGAGGCTAGGCGGCTCCGCGCTCCAGGGCTCCTCGGCGTGACGGCCGCGCCCGCGTTGTTCCAGCCCGCCGCCGAGGCCGCTCCCGGGGCGCGAAGATGCCGGCCGTCTCCAAGGGGGATGGGATGCGGGGCCTAGCGGTCTTCATCTCCGACATCCGCAACTGTGAGTGCCAGACGCCGGGCGGGCCTGAGCGGGGGCGCGGCCGGGGGTCCGCAGGTGCTGCCGGGGGCCTGGGGGTTCGGTCCCGATGGGGAAAGGGATCGGAGCGGGGTCCCGGTTCGGTGCAGGCCTGGGAAGAAGGGCTGCGGGGTGCAGATCGCGCGGTGGGGCGGGGGTCCCGCGCGGGCGCTTAGGGTGCAGAGCGCGCGTCCTGGGTGCACATCTGGCGGGAGTTAGTTGTCTGCTGCGGGGGCCCAGACACGGGTGGGGGTGGGGGTGTCCCTGGTCCTGACCCGACGGTGGGGTTTGGGGTAGAGATTCATGCCGGCGTGCGGGGCAGGGTCCTGGAGGTGCAAATCTGCCAGTGGGTTGGAGGTAGGAGCAGAGGTGTTAGGCAGAGATCTCGGGGTGCAGACCCCTGGAGGAGTGGATGCATGTATGGGTTTGGACGGCTGGGGATTACCTGAGGGTGTTCAGACCGAGGTGCGGGGTTTAGGAGTCTTGAGATCTAGGGTTAGCGACAGGAGTGCGGGGCGGGGTGGGGAGTCTGCGGGGTTTGTGGCACCGTCGAGGGGCTTCCGGCCCAAGACGCCCCTCCCCAGCATGATGTCATCTTGGTCTTTCTAGTAATGGAGCCTTTAACCCAGCCTTTTCCAAAACAGCTTGGATTTTCTCTTTGGGCGGGGATCGGGACACCGTACGTCTCGGACCTGGTTCAGGCGGCATGTTGGGCGACGATTAGATCTCACCCACTGCGATTAAAGTGACTCATTCCCCCAGGGAACCGGCAGCAGCCGGGTGTGGATGCTGGAAGCTGCGCCGGCTTCTCCGCTGAGCAGTTTTGTAGCCAGTGTCCCCTGGGTGGGGGAAAAAAAATCCTCTCCAAGTGAAGTGGGTCGGAAGGTTAAAGGTCAGTCAGGGCGGGTGCCCAGGACTTTGGCTTACAGAAACTTCTGAGGGCTATCAGACACCCCCTTTCTGGGGAGAAGAAAGGCCATTTTCCTGTCAGTTGGTTATTTTTTTCTTGGTATTCAGCAAATAGCTGACTCCATGATTTTCGTTACTTTAGAGATTAATATGTGTCCTGAGGAATTTTGATCATTGCTGTCGTCATGCTAACACTTCATTTTATACTGTATTCTCTAAGACTGCGTGCAGGACCCTGGCTTGCCTGGGTCTGTAGGACGCTGGAAGAGTAGATTTATGTCCCTCCCAGCCCTGCAAAGATGCAGACATCCTTGGATCAGGGCTTACGAAAATTTTAGACAGTTTCATTCATAGTCATGATGATTTTTTTTTTTACATTTTCTTAAAGTAAAAAAAATTACATTTATAGGTGTGTGTTGTATGTATGTATAGGTGTGTGTATATGTGTATTCAACCACAAACCATGGTGCGTTTGTGGTGGCCAGAGGACAATTCTCTCTCAGAAGTCCCTTCTCCCCTTTCATCATGTGGGTCTTCGGGTGTGGCGGCAAGTATCTTTACCCCCTGAACCCTCTCCCCATCTCCATCCTTCTGTTTTCTGAAGAGGGTTACACTGTACAGGACATTGAGAGTGAAAGGCAGTTTCTTGCCCAACTAGTTACCACTTGTTAGACGGGTGTCCTGTGTTTGATCAGAGACAGCACATGGTGAGAACTCGGTAAATTGCTTATTGGCTGACTGTAGAGCAAGCCTTCCTTCCCTTGGCACAGCTGATTTTTGGGGGATGATTGGCGTTTGTTGTGGGGAACAGTTCTGTGTCTTGAAGGATGTTTGACAGCACCAGGTGCCTCAGTTGTAATAGTGGTAAATTATTCCCCAAAGGTGTATGGAATGTGTACCATCCCTAGAGGAGCCATTGGAAGAGGTGGTGCCAGGTCTCTGTAAGCCCACCATTCTTTCACAAGTACCTTCCTTTCTTGCTGTCAGGTCCCCCTCCACACTGTGGTCCTGCTTCTCTGGAGCAGTGTCCTCTGTTTCCATGTTGTCTTTTCCAGTGGAATCTTATGTCCTGCTGTACAGGAAGCACTAAAGTAAGGGCTCCCTGGCCTTGCTCTTCACTTCACCCTTTTCGTGCCCCTCAGTGTCTGGCACACAATATGTGCTCTGTGAGTGACTCAGCTCCAAGGAAGACACAGAAGTTCTCACTTGGGAGTGGAGGACCAGAGCTGGTGTGGACTTGATTCCCTATCCCATGGGGAGGGGATCGCTTCTTCTCCTTTTCCTGAGTTTGTGTTTACTGTTTTCTCATGATGAGAGTGAGTGGTAGCTCTGTGGAGAGGGGTTCCCAGCTCAGCCCCCAAGGTGCTGGCTCTGCCACCAGCTCCTTCGCTGGAAGCTGCCATCCAGTAAGCCTTGGTTCTCAAGGGGTTGGTTATAAGCTGAAGTGTCTTTAAAGTCTGTTTCATGTCTGTTTCAGTGGCATTTCTTACCTTTGAAGGCCTGTGTTGAATGCTGAGAGAAAGGGAAGTGTCAAGAGGGACAAAGGGATGTGTGAGCTGGGAGATTCTGCATCTTGTTTTTAGTTGGGTTACTAGTTTACTCTCTTAGCATAGACAGTGACCAACCTGCTCCCATGTCACTTAGCCTGTAGCTTTGCAGCTCAGGTAACAGACAAATTTAGTCTCATAAAAGTGACTTGCCCTTTCCTGGTCCACTTTAGCCAAGGCCTGTGCATTGAGTAAGGTGGTTTCAGTGTGTCAGAGTCCTGCAAATTGCTTCTGTTTCTCTTGGATGTGTCTGCTTGTTTATATGTGTATCATGTGCAGTGAAGGTGCCAGAAGAGGCCAGAAGGTGTTGTATTCTCTGGAACAGGACTGATAGTTGTGGTTGGTGAGTGCTCCGAACAGAACCTGTGTCCTTTGCAAGAGCAGCAAGTGTTCTTAATTGCCAGGCCATCTCAGCTTGTTTCTTTCTTCTTTAAATAACAACACATACACACATTCTCTCTCCACACTCACCCCCTACCCACAGTATGAATGTTTTGCCTGCATGTCTGTATATGTCACATATATGCCACATGTGTGCCTGGTCCCTGCAGAGGTTAGAAGAATACATCAGACCCCTTGGAACTGGAGTTAAAAGCAGTTGTTATCAGTTGTGTGGGTGCTAAGAGTTGAACCTGTATCCTCTTCAAGAGCAACCGGTATTCTTTTTAAAGATTTTATTTATTTATTTATTTATTTTATGCATTTATATTAGTGCTCTATCTGCATGTGCACCTGCATGCTAGAAGAGAGCAGTTGAGGGTATAGATGGTTGTAAGCCACCATGTGGTTGCTGGGAATTGAACTCAGGACCTCTGGAAGAGCAGACAGTGTTCTTAACCACTGAGCCATCTCTCCAGCCTGCAACTGGTATTCTTAACTACTGAGCCATCACTATTTCTCTCCTTAAGTGGTCATGAAAAAGATTTTAGGCTGGTAAGAGAGAGCTCAGCTGGTAAGGGCACTAACTACCAAACCTGATGACCTGAGCTCCATCCCTAGAACCCACATGGTGGAAGGAAAGAACTAATTCACACAAATTGTCCTTTTTTTTTTTTTTTTTTTTTTTGAGACAGGGTTACTCTGTGTAGTCTTGGCTGTCCTGGAACTCTCGATGTAGATCAGGTTGCCCTCGAACTCATAGAAATCTGCTTGCCTCTGACTCCTGAGTGCTGGGACTAAAGGCTTGTGCCACCACTGCCTAGCTCACAAACTGTTCTTTAACCTCTCCATGCACACTGAGGCATGCTTGCTGTGGCACAGGCTAAAAAAGAAAAATTCTAGTTTATTTATTTATTTTAGTCCAGGTTAAGAAATAATTTTTTATTTTGAAATAATTATAGATTCATAGGAAGTTATGAAGAAATTGACAGGAAGGTGCTTGGCACCCTTCACCCCACCTTTCCTGATGTGGACATCTTTTGTAATTAGCGTATTTTCAACATGGGAAAACTGACATTGTACAAACCACCGGTCTATTTAGAATTTCATCATTTTGTCTACATATTTATTTATTTGTTTGTTTATTCATTTATTTATTTGTTGGTGCTGGGGATGGAACCCAGGGCCTTGAGTATTTTAGCCCCTCGATGTCGGTAGTTTTGCCTGTTCTCGTGTGTATCTGTGTGTGTGTGTGCACGTGTGTGCTTGAGTGCAGTGCTCTGCGGTTTTTGTGTGACTCCCCCCTCTGTGAGAGACTGCTTTCTCTATTCTCTTACCATGAAGCTCTCTGGCATTCGTGCTCATGGCCACACCCACCACCTCCTACCATGGCAATTGCTGCTAATCTGCTCACCAGCTCTGTAATTTTGTGATCTCAAGGATGTCACATAAATGGAATTATACAGCGAGTGACCTTTGGAGATCGGCTTTTTCACACAGTGTGGTCCTTGATATCCATATAGGCTGTTGTGTTGACAGTGTTCCAAGGAAACCAAAACCGTTCTGACATTGGGATTTTGTGATTTAGTTTGCTTTTCCACAAGTGATGTTTGTGAAGGAGGACCATATATAATTTATTTTCTTTGTCTTTCTCACTAGATTTTGCAGTGCTGAGTGAGGATAGAACCTGGCCTCATTCTGGTTAGGCTAGAGCACTGTCACTGAGCCATACCCCCAGACAAGTGGCCCTGTCTTTTTGCATTGCTATTTATAATATCAACAATCCCATATGATTGGAAATACTGGTGATCCCCAGCTAAGATGGTTTGGCCTTACAGGGTTTTTGTGCTTATTAATATGCATAAAAACAATGCACAGTCCATGAGACCCTGGCTCTGAGTTTTGATCTTTCCCTGGGCTGCTTGTGGCAAGATCTTTTCACAGTACTGAGCAGTGGCAGTGAATGCAGCATTTCCCTAAGTCCCTGATCAGCAGTATAGACAAGTGTGAGTCTGTAGTGTGCTGTGCTCCTGAGCCTGAGGCTCTGGGTTAAGGTATTCAGTGCCTTTTCTGCTACAGTATTTTCACCTTACTGTGGCTTTACTGAGGCACAGCTTCATCACAAGCTGAAGAGCATCTTCTTTAACAATG